AGTGTCTTGAAAACATTTGTAGAAGTCATTTTTTTGTGCATATCTTTGGCGCCATCCGTTAAGCGGAGAATGAATTATTGAATGCAGACTAGGCTATTGATCTGTGTGTCGCTTGTTTGTTCCTCTGTGTAACTGGGTCACGGCGTTGGATAGCCTAAACAGTTAAAGCTAAGGTAGAGTGGGTCGACTGCAATGCACAGGTTTTTTTTTTTTATCTCACATATCATCGCAGTCTCTCTCCACATAACAATTAGCCGTTTGCCGATTGGACCACACAAAGCACGAATCCGTAGTCTCAGCGACTGACCTCGGTGATGTGGGCATGTTTTCGGATTTCTCCTTTCTAGTCACGGTTTGTGCTATTTGGTGCATTCATGGGTATTCCCATAAATTCCCATTAATATTGTCTGTCCAAAAGGACAGCGAAGATCAAAATCTGTTTTTGAATATAAAGAAAAATACAATATTGCACACAGATAAAACTGGCTGTCACCCAAAAATAACAATAAATAATAACAAATTACAAATGTCACAAACTTTGAATATCTAGGCTCTATAATAAACTTCTTCTTCTTCTTCTTTGCGTTCGGTTTCGTATGCTCAGATCAGACCATCAGGTGGGTTGCCTCTATGAACTCGCATGTCAGCCGCAGGTCCTTCATGGTTCCCCATAGCTTGCTCTGCACACTCTGCTCTTGAGGTCAGGTGTCTTTTCGAAGTTGCAGGTAGAGTGGGCAGGTCTGCAGAATGTGCTGAGGTGTTTGGGATCCTGTTTGACAGGCATAATGTGGGGATTGCACAATCTTTATTTTATGCATGTGGTAGTTGAACCTGCAGTGTCCTGTTCGTAGACGGAAAATCGTTGTATGTTGCTTTCCAATAATAAACAGCAATGGAGACTGTTCAACAGAAATTAAAAGGAGGATGGCTATAACAATACAAAGATTAAACAGCCTTAAAAGTCTATGGTTAAGCACCAGCAAGGAGATTAAAATTAGAATTTTGAGAGCATGCATCTTCCCTGTGGCTACATACGGATGTGAGTCGTGGACTATCTCTCAGTCCTTAAGAAAGAGAATAAGGGCTTTTGAGCTGAAATGCTATAGAAAGATTCTCAGAATATCTTGGACAAGGAAGAAGAGGTATACTGACATCTTAAAAGATCTGAACATCAAGGAAGATTGGCTAATAAACAGCATCCTGTCTCGGAAGCTGAAATATTTTGGTCATATCAAGCGCCACGACGGATCGGAAAAAATTATAGCAGAAGGCATGCTACCAGGAAGGAGGGGCAGGGGCCGACCAACACAAAGATGGGCACAGGATGTAAGGATATATACTCAGTGAGTATGAAAGTACATGAGGCGGGAGAACTGGCGAGAGGCCGAGTTTCTTTCATCGGGCAGACCGTGATGAGAGCGACGTTCTGCAAAAGACCTGCTACATGATGATGATGGGTATTCCCGGTATTCACTTCTGCCGGGAGAAACAGTTTGTGATCCACCGCCTTATGGACAGCAAAAGCTACTGTCATTCTGTGTCGATGTTGATGATGATGATGATGATAATGATGATGATGATACTGATAATGCTAATTTTCTTGCGAAATTAAATTTCTAAAAACACAGCATATATAAATCTATTTTCCGAGAATAGGTTTTTCTAGCTAATTATAATTCTTTCGTTGGTATGTTTCCGACAATTGAAGTTCTGCCCACCGCTAGTTCTTTCAGATGATTTGATTCAAGCGCTCAGTCCCGCTGCCTCTTGCAAGCTGCTTGAAATGGCAAGAATCTATTTATTATCATTCTCTCTCTCTCTCTCTCTCTCTCTCTCTCTCTCTCTCTCTCTCTCTCTCTCTCTCTCTCTCTCTCTCTCTCTCTCTCTCTCTCTCTCTCTCTCTCTCCGTCCTTCATTTTTCTGTTGTCTCGGTAGTGGATATCAAATTACTTCGGAAACAAACTCAATCATTGATTTTTTGTTCGTCACTCCAAGCTCTACACACAGCGATAACACTGTTGGCGCCAGGTTATTGTGTGTCTTGGGAGGGTCTGGTGAAAATCTCGTGGTCATACAGCTGTGTAGGTGTTTCTTCTTCTTCTTCTTCTTCTTCTTCTTCTTCTTCTTCTTCTTCTTCTTCTTCTTCTTCTTCTTCTTCTTCTTCTTCTTCTTCTTCTTCTTCTTCTTCTTCTTCTTCTTCTACTACTACTACTACTACTACTTCTTCCTCTTTTTCTTCTTCTCTTTCTTCTTAGACTCACTCTCTTTCTAATCCTAATTCTTTTTTTCCTTTTTCTCAAGACTCTTCCTTTTGCTACCTGCCCTTTCTGAAATTTCCATTACTATCGATAATTTATTACTATTAGTCTTACTATTACCATGACAAAATGTGTTATTGTTTGTGTGTTGTTAATTGTTGTCATAACATATATATATATATATATATATATATATATATATATATATATATATATATATATATATATATATATATATATATATGTGTGTGTGTGTGTGTGTGTGTGTATGTGTGGGTGTGTTTTGTTTTTCACCTCTGTAGCATACGTCCTCTTCACCTCTGTAGCATACGTTCTCTTCACCCCTGTAGCATATGTTCTCTTCACCTCTGTAGCATACGTTCTCTTCACCCCTGTAGCATACGTTCTCTTCACCCCTGTAGCATATGTTCTCTTCACCTCTGTAGCATACGTTCTCTTCACCTCTGTAGCATTCGTTCTCTTCACCTCTGTAGCATACGTCCTCTTCACCTGCATTATAGTTTGCAGCAGCGGCTCGGCACACGTGCGCCAGACACCCCGTGGGCTGATTTCCAACAATTGTAATCTTTCTAGTTTGGTACTGCTAACGCATTGAAGTTTGTTTCTCTCCCTCTTTTGAGAACATACATACATACATACATACATACATACATACATACATACATACATACATACATACATACATACATACATACATACATACATACATACATACATACATACATACATACATACATACATACATACATACATACATACATACATACATACATACATACATACATACATACATACATACATACATACATACATACATACATACATACATACATACATACATACATACATACATACATACATACATACATACATACATACATACATACATACATACATACATACATACATACATACATACATACATACATACATACATACATACATACATACATACATACATACATACATACATACATACATACATACATACATACATACATACATACATACATACATACATACATACATACATACATACATACATACATACATACATACATACATACATACATACATACATACATACATACATACATACATACATACATACATACATACATACATACATACATACATACATACATACATACATACATACATACATACATACATACATACATACATACATACATACATACATACATACATACATACATACATACATACATACATACATACATACATACATACATACATACATACATACATACATACATACATACATACATACATACATACATACATACATACATACATACATACATACATACATACATACATACATACATACATACATACATACATACATACATACATACATACATACATACATACATACATACATACATACATACATACATACATACATACATACATACATACATACATACATACATACATACATACATACATACATACATACATACATACATACATACATACATACATACATACATACATACATACATACATACATACATACATACATACATACATACATACATACATACATACATACATACATACATACATACATACATACATACATACATACATACATACATACATACATACATACATACATACATACATACATACATACATACATACATACATACATACATACATACATACATACATACATACATACATACATACATACATACATACATACATACATACATACATACATACATACATACACATACATACATACATACATACATACATACATACATACATACATACATACATACATACATACATACATACATACATACATACATACATACATACATACATACATACATACATACATACATACATACATACATACATACATACATACATACATACATACATACATACATACATACATACATACATACATACATACATACATACATACATACATACATACATACATACATACATACATACATACATACATACATACATACATACATACATACATACATACATACATACATACATACATACATACATACATACCTGGTTAGGACTCGCTTTAAAATCCATCTGCGACTCGCTGCAGCCCACGACCGGACGGTTCATGGGTTCACCTAGCCTCTAGCTAGGTAATGGTTACCGTCTAGTTAGGTAATGGGTACCGGAGTAAAACTCTGGGGTAAATCGAGGAACGTCGTGGTAGCTACTGGGTTGCGGGAGGACGGCGACACAGGCTGACTGTTTCCTATAAACTGTTCGTAGTGGTGGAAGGGCACTTATGGTTTATAACCGTGTGCAATGACGCTGGTTCACATCTCCCTATTTTTTTTTCAACACACATACACGTGTACAACAAATGATATGTAACATACACACATACACGTGTACAACAAATGATATGTAACATACACACATACACGTGTACAACAAATGATATGTAACATACACACATACAACAAATGATATGTAACATACACACATACACGTGTACAACAAATGATATGTAACATACACACATGCACGTGTACAACAAACGACAAATAATTACATACACACATACACGTGTACAACAAATGACATATCATAACATACACACATACACATGTACAACAAATGACATATCATAACATACACACATACACGTGTACAACAAATGACATATAACAAACATGGTACTATTTCTCGTTGCAGTGTTCCGGCCAGACAACGGAGCCTCCATTCGGCCGTTCGCCAGTGTTCCTATGCTCCACGATCAGTCGGGTACCAATGTCGGAGGCTCCCCTTCAGGAGGCGGCGGTTCAATGCTACCCTCGTTCGGCTTCACCCAGGAGCAGGTGGCGTGTGTCTGCGAGGTGCTTCAGCAGGGAGGCAACATAGACCGGCTAGCTCGATTCTTGTGGTCTCTCCCTGCCTGCGAACACCTCCACAAGAATGAAAGCGTTCTCAAAGCCAAAGCTGTGGTGGCCTTTCACAGAGGCAACTTTAAGGAGTTGTATAAAATTCTAGAGAACAACCAGTTTGCTCCACATAATCATCCCAAGCTGCAGGCGCTGTGGTTGAAAGCGCACTATGTCGAAGCGGAGAAACTTCGTGGAAGACCGTTGGGTGCCGTGGGAAAATACCGGGTGAGGAGGAAGTTTCCGCTGCCTAGAACTATCTGGGATGGAGAAGAGACAAGTTACTGCTTTAAGGAAAAGTCCAGAACTGTGTTAAGAGAGTGGTACTCACACAATCCCTACCCCTCGCCAAGGGAGAAGCGAGAGTTGGCGGAGGCAACCGGACTGACAACTACTCAAGTCAGTAATTGGTTCAAAAACAGACGGCAGAGAGATCGGGCGGCTGAAGCTAAAGATCGGTAAGAAATGTTTATAGTTATGTATAATTATTCCCCGTGTGGGTTGTGGGACACCATTTTTTGTGAAATAAGAATAGACCCACTGCCACCTAGCAAGTATGTCGTAACAGGCCACTAATTAGCGATGTCTCCTTCCAAGCCCATCTGCCTGAGAAGCGAGCAACCAACAGATCAGCCAGCCAGATTTATAAAACGGATGTGCATGCAAAACACAAGTTCTGGAACAAGCCAGACGTGGACGAACAACCACAACTATCTGCCAGTTTGCTATCAGGAATGAAGAAGAAGAAGAAGAAAGAAGAAGAAGAAGAAGAAGAAGAAGAAGAAGAAGAAGAAGAAGAAGAAGAAGAAGAAGAAGAAGAAGAAGAAGAAGAAGAAGAAGAAGAACAACAACAACAACAACAACAACAATAACAACAACAACAACAACAACAAGGAGAAGAAGGAGAAGGAGAAAAACAAGAAGAAGAACAAGAAGAAGAACAAGAAGAAGAAGAAGAAGAAGAAGAAGAAGAAGAAGAAGAAGAAGAAGAAGAAGAAGAAGAAGAAGAAGAAGAAGAAGAAGAAGAAGAAGAAGAAGAAGAAGAAGAAGACAAAAACGAGAAAGAAGAAGAAGACAAAGACGAGAAAGAAGAAGAGGAGGAGGAAGAAGAAGAAGAGGAGGAGGAGAAAGAACAAGAAGAAGAAGTAGATGATGAAGAAGAGGAGGAAGAAGAAGAAGAAGAAGAAGAAGAAGAAGAAGAAGAAGAAGAAGAAGAAGAAGAAGAAGAAGAAGAAGAAGAAGAAGAAGAAGAAGAAGAAGAAGAAGAAGAAGAAGAAGAAGAAGAAGAAGAAGAAGAAGAAGAAGAAGAAGAAGAAGAAGAGGAAGAAGAAGAAGAAGAAGAGGAAGAAGAAGAGGAAAAAGAAGAGGGAAAAGAAGAAGAAGTAATCATCATTATGTGCCCTGTCAGGTGGCGTAAGCTTTTATATCTCTCTACAGCTAGGTCATCTCAGTTTTGGATCAATAATATTGACGGAATTGCTTCATATTATAGAAAATGACCCCTTTTCCTCATTTTTTTCGTATGTGACAAATAGTGCTAGACGTATATAGTTTATAGACTAACCGGCACATCAGTGATTGATGCGGTCATTATTATATACGTCACTTGCAGATGCGCCATTGACTTAAAAAAAAAAAGATCTTTTTTCTTTACTTATATAATTCCCCGTATTGGTTCAGGGGCCCTATTTTGGTTGGGGGGGGGGGGGGGGGGGGGTGGCTGTAAATACACATATCACCTCTCCCCAACAAGGTTGTCGTAACATAGACTAATTAGCGTTTTTTTTTTAAGACATAGTGCAACTGCCCGAGGCGTGGAACCAACAGTCTACATACAAATAAATCAAATTTGTAAAACGGATGTGCATAAAAAACGGATGTGCATAAAAAAACTCAAGTTCAGGAACAGAACTAATGTTTAGAAGTGGATGAGCAACCAAAACCTCCCGCCGGAGTTTACAGTCGGTAAAACGTGAAAAAAAAAAAAAAAACACTGGCTTTAAAAGGGACCTTTACTTGACCAGTATAATGCTTCTGTTGGTACCTCATCGTCTTTTATATCAGTTTTAGACTTATTAGACAATTTCAACATCACTGCAATCGGGGTTTCCCCATATTTGCTCCGTCCCTGTGCCAGTGGAAAACAAATGAAATATTCCTCACTGTCTCATTTGAAAAACTGGCGAACAAACAATTAGTCCCAAAACAATGCAGAAATATGCACATGCAGTAAGTGCATATGGCAGTTGCTAGAGGCGCCAAAGCCAACAGTCGCCACCAGAAACTCAGTTAGTCGTTGATGGAAAAGGTCGGGCCCGAGAAGTTGGCTATGCACACGTAAAAATAGTGTTTCCAGATAGTGTTTCGTTGTGCCAAATGTAGGCAAGAGAAGCACAGTCCATGGGGATGGCAAGTTTCAATAACTTTAAGAAAAAGCTTCTTCAGGTGCATGAGATTTTCAGGATCATTGTTGCCATCTCTCAAAGTCACTACGCTTCTTCCCAGACGCTTAACTCCCAATCTGTCTTCGACTATTGTTCTCCTTTGCCCCTATTTCCTAGTATACGGGATATTTAAATACAGATTTTTAGTAAAATCTCTTTTTTCACTAGACCTATATATACAAAGCTCCGGTGAAGACAAGGATGATATAGAGGACAAGATTTTCCTTCTAGTAAAATATTATAATATTATAGTATTTCCTTATACATACACACACACACACACACACATATATATATATATATATATATATATATATATATATATATATATATATATATATATATAAGTTCTCGCTGTGCCTAGTGGTACATGAGGCTTCAGAGAGGACTTTCCATGCTTTCCTGTCCTGCGCAATCTTCAATCTTATATATATATATAAGGAAATACTATAATATTTTAGTATATTATATTTTATATAAAGTTAGCTGCGTAATGTTTAGAGGACATTACAAACCATCCCGGCTTTTGTTGGCTGTTTGTGTATCAACGCAAAGCGGTCTCCTGCCAAATCGTCTGCAGCTAAAATCGAACAGTGTATTTCTGGATTACAAATCTCCCGTTGATCTTCATAACTGCCTTTATATATATATATATATATAGCCACATCGATCCAGAAGTGGTTTGGACACCTAACAAGAATGCCCTGGTACTAAAACGTTACAACAGTTATAGAGCGAGTGGAAGACCTCGGAAAAAATGGAATGATGGCATCAAGAACAGCCTTACAGAAATGAACATCAGTCCTAATAGTGCTCTTGACAGAGCTCACCAACAAATAATACGTCCCCCCCCCCCCCTTTTCCCTGACACTACGCTGAGGTACAAGGTGAAAGGGAAGAAGAAGAAGACCCAACCTTGAGTAGGTACCAGGTAGTGTCGTGGGAAGTAAAGGCAGCCGGCTTGATATTGACCACCTTGCCCATGCAGTCTCCATCAGTCGATACAATTCTAGGCCTGGCACCATATGTCCGATACGCAGAAGGTGCAGAAGCGGGTCCTTTGCTTTCAAATCATGTTTGCCCGGCTCTCTAGCGTAGTTGGCTAAACCGGATTGCGCGGTGACCGGGTGACGAACTCCTTGTGGTCCGGGTTCACGCCCGAGGGTAGGCAGAAGAGCCACATTTCTCCCAGATTTACGGTATTTACAATGGAATCAAGGCCGAAAGGTTGCGATATCCAGAATACCGAGCCTAAGGGTTAACAAACTCATGGCTTCTGGATACTAAAACAAAGAAACAAAATAATATTTTAACGCTCACATTTGTGGTAAAAATTTCCTATTCTTGCTAAAAGTTTACCCCGCGCATGCGCCGTCTCGACTTTCCTTGTCGATGATGGCTGATAAACGAACGAAGCAGCAGAATATGTGATGTATCGATCTGGCCTCAGGAGTTTCTTCGTAATGAAAATCTTTCGCATATTTTTAAACACACGTCTGGTTGTGGGGAAAAAATATAATTACAGTTTCCAAGTTATTCTCATAGATTTAATCATAATTACAAAACACGTTTCGAGCATCATGTTTTTTTTTTTTTTTTAAGCTGCTGCGACAATTGGAATAAAATTAATCATCTTCTTGTTCACGTTCACCTGCTGTAAACTCTGGCCCAAAGTTCTGGTTGTTCGTCCACTTTTGTACTTTATTCTTGTTCCGAAACTTGAGTTTTGCGTGCACATCCATTTTACAGATAGGGTTAATTTATAAGCAGATGTTGGTTCCTTCCTTTTAGGATGATGGACTGCGACTTCAAAGAAAGCACCCAAATTACTAGTCGACTTTCACGGCATCTTGTTAGGAGGAAGTAGGTCTATTTGTTCCCCCCCCCCCCCCCCCCTCCCTCCCATCCCTTTTCAAATGGGGCAACAGAAGCCAAAAGGGTAAATAAAGATAATAAGTACGCCGGCCAGCCCACCCTTACACACACCCCCCCCCCCCCCCACCCCCCATGTTTTGTTGAGGTTTCTTTAAACAACGGATCAACATCGTGGTACATGGGTAGCAACCCATAAGTGCTCCTTTCTTTTTTCTAATTCAAGTCCGAAGTAGCTCAGTTTATTGCACAGATTCCCTGGGCTGCTCTTTTCGATTTCCAACTGCCAAGGGATTTTTGTAAGTTCGCAACAATGTACACGAGCGTCCGATCTCACTACCCAGAGACCAGAGGGGGAATTACTAGAAGTCCAAGTCCACGTGGAAAATATCCCAGCCCTTACCGGGGATTGAACCCGGAACCTCTAGCACTCGAGGCGGACACCATGCCTCTAGAACACGCAGCATCCCTGCTTTGTAGAACTATAGTGTTTTTACGAAAAGGTTTTCGTAAAATTATATCACAGCTGTAGGTAGTGGTATATCAATTGATAAAATTGTGTATTCAAATTTACTTAATTTTCAACGTTTCAACGTTCTCCCCCCCCCCCCCCCTTGTTTTTTTTTCTCTTAACACCCCCCCCCCTTCCCCGCCCCACCCCGCCCCACCAGCATAACAAGTGATTAGAGTGCATTTTTTTCGAGGTTTGTAAATATACGATGATCCTTGCTGGGGGTCAGGAGTTATACGGCACAAAGTTCAAATGTAACCAGCAGACACCACAAGACATTTCAGGAAAGCTCGTGTTTCTTGTTCTGAATGTAAATTCTGAATAAGACCACAACAGTTGCGCTGAAACTGAGGTAACGGGCAACACAATTAGTGTGCTGGGTAGCTTCTAAGTTCTTGACAACTTGTAAAGGTGTAACTTATGTGGTTATGTACTCGTCGTGGTGTTGGCGGATAGACGCCCGCCTGCGGATCGGGAGGTCGTGGGTTCGCGTCCTGACGGAGCCGAACTTTTTTCAAAAATGACCTTGACTTTCAAGTCGACCCAGTCTTGAGGTGGTATCAAGTGCAGTCCTGGGAAGTAAAAGCGCAATACGCCTCAAGGAGTGGAAAAGGGACCTGTGTGTGGTTAG